TCTTTAATCTGTTTTTGGATTTCTTCCTTATGAATTTGGGGAAACCGATACTGCTTTGTGGAAATTGGAATTTCATCTATTGTTGGAATTTTGTGAGTCATTACATTCGTTCCCTGTAAACGATCACCTGGAAGCTGGACTTGATAGGGAAATTTCGCGAATATTCTAAGAATACTATTTTTTTCTTCCGTATTGAGGTTTTCTAGATGAAGACTATTCGTGAGCCTTTCCATTCGTTTTTCAATGGATTCTGTCTCGATCGAGTAACATGTCTTGATTGGTTTTTCTGAACAATTTTCAATTTCGTCAATATATTGCGCTGGAATGTTGAGCTCTCGTTCCTTCTCTTTGCAATTAATTATATAAATCCACATAATTCCTTTATTATTTTTAACTAGAGCCACTCCTCCATATAAATTTTCCCCCAAATTTAATCTAGGCAAATAACCTTCTTTTACTTCAGTATTCAAAACCTTGATTCCCACCTTTTTCTTGGAACGAGCAGGAACTGTTACTCAGTTTGCATTAGTGGAATAGAAATTCCTTTATCATCGATTCGCAAACTACTATCAGAGAAGCAAAGCGTTGCTCTCTCATCTCGTAAAAATTGCGCACCTAATATACCGTCATATTTGATGGGGAAATCTGCACGAATAATTTGGAAATTGCATTTAATGGAATCAAACGTGATCTGAGCCTCACCAATTGTTTCATCTGACCCTGGGGTGATTCCTCTCAATACGAAACGTTTGTCTCTATTAATTTTAATACCTGGTTTTAATGCACTTTCTGTTAAGAAATTAATATCGGCCCCAGAGTCGACAAGGAGTCAGTTTTTCATATTCAATAAATCATCACTGGTGATAGTCACACATGGGAGCGTCGTTTGCTCTGCTTGATTAAAATTAATTGATGCTTTTTGAGGAGGATTCGGTGAACTTGATTGGAAATTTTGTGCATTTGCATTACTAGAATTACCGCGACGACAATTACGTGTTGAATGCCCCGACATCTTGCAATTAATACAATATCCCGGCTGAAACTTGCTGCGACATTGGTTCATCATGTGACCCAGTTTCCCACACGCGTAACAAATTCTCTGATTCTTAAATGAATTATCTGAATTCTGAGATTGAGTCTGCATAACATTGACTCTAGCAGGAATGTGTTTCTGTGACCGATTCTGCAGATTATACAGACCGTGATTTTTGAAATGACGATTGTAATAATTTTGTGAATTGTTTGGAATAGCATGATTCGACTGATTTTGTGTGTTGGAAATCCTGTCAGCTGACAGGGCACTCACAAATACACACGCGCGGCTCATCCATTCTCTCCCCACTCACGCACACCTGACGCGCTCACCTCAGATGACCGGGGGTTATTAATTCGGACACCTGAGGCGCCACGTCCTGGACAGCTCTTTATTACCTATTGATCTATATTTAAATTAGGTCATGTGACCATCGAATTAGGGCACGTGGCACCTGTAAGCTCGTGACTCTCTCTCATTCGTTTCCGGGATCTAGTTAAAGACACTTCTTTTATTGTACTGCTCATCTCTAGTGACTCGGATTAACTCATTGTGTCAGCTCAATTATTATTAATTCAAGGAATTAGTCGGCTCATTATTTACGGTCTGCTCAGTGACTCTATTTATTGTGACAGTGTAAATAACTATAAATATTGAACAATTATACGGTGTTTTGTGAAATCAAGTGCACGTGTCCGCACATTTTTTGACCCGCTCATTCACTCCCGGAAAGCCATTTCCCACCTGCCCATCCGCTCTCAATTACCACCGATCCAGGCATCTCATCAAACATTGTGAGTTGTGTGAAATTTTGGGTTGTTCATGCTTGAAGAGATCGTTGCGTTGTTCAATCTCTTTTTGTTTTTCAATTGCAACTTTTACTGCTGCCTCAAAGTTTACCGGTTTTTCATTTGAAACGTGTAAACTCAAATCACCCCTCAAACCGCGAATAAAACTATCCCGAGCTCCCTCCTGTGTTGTAGCTAAAACCCCGACTGCAACGTCCACTGGATACTTCTTTTGAACTAATTCTGTGATACCCTGAATCAAAACATTGATCCTTGCCACGTAATCAATAATTTTTTCATTAGATTTCTGATGAACATTTGCAAGTAGCCCTTGCCACTGAGATAATGTCTGGCGGGGTGCGAAGGCTTGTTTCAAATTAGCAAAAATACCATCAAGGGTTAAAGTAGCCTGATTCGCGATATATTGACTGGCTTTTCCCGAAATTTTTGATTTTATCAATTGTGTGAAATAAACTTGGTGAGACGCAGGTGCAAGCGAGACTGTTTGTTTGCACAAATCGATAAAATTGTTTACTGGAATGTTCTCTCCATTGAAATTTGGGATAAGATTTGAAATATCTCTTATAGACACTGAAGGCATAGATTCCTGGACGCTCAAACCCGCTTGATTTACTAATCCTGATCCCGATGACATACTACTCGTATTATCACTCACATTATCGTTAACTGGATTTAATAAGTCTCTAACATTGTTTGCAGGTGCAGATTCCCCCTTTCTAGACGCTCTTCTATTTCCTCCTCTAGTGGGTGGCATGTTTCTTTATTTTAAATATTTCTCAAAATACTAATTATTGCAAAATATACTAAAATTAATGCTTCTCTCTTCTTGAAATCAAAATAATTAACTATAATTTATTGTGCTCTCTAAAAAGGGCTGGACAAGGCTGCGGCCTCTAATCAGGTGTATTCCTTTACTATTCTGTAAAACCGCAGAAAACCTGAACAATACCCTGAGATGTCCATCCTCAAATAATAATACTTATTACTAGACTTACAACTTTTCTTTATTACAGCTAATCCAATTTGTTCTTTTGGTTCACTCGATTTTCACTTCAATTCACTATTAATTGCCCTTAATTTTCATTATTTCACTGCACTTTATCAGCTCGAAGGAACTGCGTTGACTCCTCCAATGCAATTGCCGGAACTCTGCTTGGCTTGACTCCTCGATCTCGAAGTGGGCAGGAAAATTATTTTGAATTTCAAAATTAAAAATTGTGATTCGATGGATGCGGCAATCCCACCGCTGTCACCAATTGTTATGTCCTATCGAAGTAACTAGGAGGACAGTAGCGCCAATGGAATTTAAAGCGCCAATTTTGACTGTAGATTCGTTAGCCAAAGCTCTGATGAGCACTCCATCGAAGTCCAATTGTTTAATCCCAGAATATTTGGTTGGAAGGGTTGAATTGTGAAATAAATTCAACACAAGTGCTTAAGAGAGCACACAAACACTTTTATTCAAAATACTTCAACTTCAGACTTTAAACTTTGCGCTACAAAAATGAATTTAATAAACTATAGAAAAACTCTACTGAAAAACTATTTGAAGAGAGAAGCTGGAAGCTGAAGGCTTCACCACGAATTTCCACGATGGAACTGACTTAAACTTAAACTTAACTCCAAGGGTTGGGTCCAGCAACCCCACTGGACCAAAAGTTGCGCGCGCAATCCTGGCCCAGGGGAGAGGGAAAAGCGAAACTCAAGGAAAAGCGGGGAAATGAAAAAAGGGGAAGAAGGGGAGCGTGTGACGTCGTGAAACTTCGTCGCGAAGGGTCTCAGGCCCCTCAGCCTAGCGAAACAATGAAAAAAGGAGAGCCCACACGTGTTGGTCACGTGAAACAGAGAAACTTTCGAAATAACCAGAACTGAGATTTTACGACATGGGACCGTAACCGTTAAATTTATTTTCTTCTCTAAATTTTGAATTTTCGAGGAAAGTGTTTACTCAACGAGAATTTTGGAGGGTTGTAAATTATAAGAACAAAACTCAAGTATTTGACATTTACTATTTCCGTAACGGTTTTTCTCACGTTTGCGATGCTGTTTTTCGTTCTCTTTGTCCATTGTATTCCAGACTTTTTTTATTCTTCTATTTCTGGTATATTTTTAATTTTCTGAACTGTTTAGATTATTTTCCAATAATAATTCGAATCTCGCGGACTATTATGGCCGATTAATAGCGTCATGTATAAATTTCAACGTCAAGACATCACAGTGGCAGCCGCGGGAGGGTGAGGGGGCCACATCTACTCCCTCCCCAGTGTTGTGTAGAGACCTAGTTACAATTAGGGTCCCTAGACAGGCTGCCAAGTTCCCTAGATTTTAATGGAAATTTGAATATAGAATAATTATTTGGGGAGATTTATCGATATTTTGAGACATTGAATTAAGAGATAATCATGTATTTGTACGTCGTTTAAATTGTCGAGATGTTTAAAGTATTCTTGAGGTGTTCCACGGGGGAAATTCCCCGCAGCTGCATTTTTCTAGCTACGTGTTCCTTTCCCGAGTAAATTGTCGCCTCTCCGAGATTTTCGAGTATTATAAATCAGTTGAGACCTTTAGAAATATTCTCTCACTCTCTTTTACAGTTTAATATGGTTCTGGGCCAGTCCCCGCTTGATTTATTTCTGTCGCAATACTTTCGGAAATTTTTTGCTTTCCTTTTGGTTTACGACTTAATTCCTTCCGTTCACCGCTGGTTGAAGCGAGGCGTGGGATCTCTTTACCTGGACTTTAAAATGTCCCTTCGATGAACGCGCGAGTCTCTCTCGGTACCCTCATTACCTCCGCCCTCAGGATGAATTTTCGGGTTTCTTGCAAAATGATTCGTTGAACCCCCTCCACCCATAAAATTGGTGACACCTCAGGGATACTTGAACGAGTAGAGTGTGGGAGAAGAAACTGAAATTGTAATCACTCCTATCCCAGGTGTTGAGAAGTAAAGATCTAAATAATTGTGATATTGAAAGTTGAGAAGAGACAATATTGTGAAGACTTTTTGAGGAATAATTTGACCGTGAAAATAATGTGAACTCGAGTTTTGGACTACTGAAGAATTAATTAAATACAAAGAATTATTTGTGTTACTTAAATCTGTGTTTAATGTGTTTAAACTTTATTTCAAATATCCCATACTTACAGAGCAGAGTGGTTTAGCACTCCACGGGCAACTTACCCACGAGCCCTCTGGAATTTACTAGACTTGAAAATCCACACACAACACCAGTGACCTGGTCTGGTACAAATGAAGGGAACGAAACTCTCTTCCTTGCAGGGTACGTACTCAAGGGCCTATCCATCGTGTTTGATGGGCATGAATCAGGCACTGGTGGTGGTGAAGCTGGTCGGCTGCGTTTCTCAGGTGCTGCAGGTGGTCTGGGCTCCTCTGGAGATGCTGGGGGTGAAGCTGACTCCTTGGAAAGATATGCTGGTTTGAGTCGGTCTACCGAGATGCTTTTTTCAGTGCCGTTTAGGTCAATGACGAATTTGCGGTCATCGATCCTTTTGACGACTCGGTGGGGGCCAGAATAAGGCGGCTCGAGCGGTTTTCTGATTGCGTCAATCCTCACAAAGACGTGGGTGGAAGTGTAGAGGTTTTTCTGGAGAAAACAGCCGCTTTTGATGTGATGAGCGGTGGATGATGGACGAACTTTCCTGATGTGTTCTCTGAACTTCTCCAGGAAAAAGTTTGGGTCCGCTGGGAGCTCTTCTGAGACGAAAAATTCTCCAGGAATCCTGAGCTCAGTACCGTAAAGGAGTTGAGCTGGAGATGCGTTCAGGTCCTCCTTGATGCAGGTACGGAGGCCGAGCATGACGGTGGGAAGCAGCTCGGGCCAGGGGGTTGGTGCGTTGCACATAAGTGCGGCCTTGACTGTCCGATGCTATCTCTCCAGGATCCCATTGGACTGGGGGTGGTATGGAGAAGTATGGATCTTGTTTGCTCCAACCATGCGAGCGAGAGCCGTGAAGAGTCGCGACTCAAACTGGCTACCCTGATTGGTGGTAATTGTGAGAGGGGTGCCGAACTGCGCAATCCAATGTCCGTAGAAAGCAGTGGCAATGGTGTCTGTCTCAATGTTGGAGAGTGGCACGGCCACAGGCCAGCGGGTGAATCGATCGATCATTGTTAAGCAATAGCGGAGTCCGTTCACTCATGGAAGCTCGATTATGTCGAGGTGGATGTGGTCGAATCGGTTGTCTGGGACATCGATGTGCATCGGATCGAGTCGATTGTGTCTCTGCACCTTGGATTTTTGACAGGGTGAACACTCACGTGACCAGCGAATGGCGTCTCGTTTGATACCAGGCCAGACGAATTTCTCCTTCAGATGACGTGCTGTAACGAGTCTCCGTGGGATTCAGTTTTCTCGAGAAAAATCCCAGGGGCTGCCAGGTGTCGTTCACGAACTGCTTGAGGGCTGCTCCGATTGCTGAGTCAGAGGCGTCTGTTGACAGGGCCAGTGGTGCTGCAGGAGACAGGAACGAGGCTCTGACTGCGGAGGCAACGCTTTATTTTGTAACAGGAGATACTATTTTCCCTTCGCGTCGGAACAATTCTCATACCCTCGGGAATCCTAACAAACTGTCCGCCGAGGAATTTAGTCGACATCAAGGGTGCATGCGCCAAATTATTGATTTGTTACGACGCAACAGGCTGCCCAGGGCCCATCGGATTACTCTTGTCCCGGCAATACACACGTATACATCTAAATATTGTTTGTCTCAGTCAGAATCATTTATTTAATTATTGTTTATTTATTATTCTTTACACTGTGTGGAAGGAGTCGATTCCCAAGGAGTTCCTTAGAAAATATACTCTGTGAATTGTCGACATTAATTGTGAGTAATTATTTATTGTTTTATTCCTGCCTATCTTTCTCCTTTCTCTCTCTCTCTCTGTTGATTCAATTTATCCTTGGGTCGTCCAACATCCACTCCCTGAGCTGAGTCAACGTTGTTAATTACCGTTAAATTAACTGGCGCCCTATTAAAAGAATCATTATTGTCGAAATTGTTTATTGACCTTCAAAAGGAGTCTTCAGAGCCCTGACAGCCCTTGACCCAGGCCGCGTCAGGTGAAGGCCTTCTGCAATTATGTACATTCTATCTAATCCTGTTAATAATTTTGTCGATTCTATTTATTCAGTGAATTATTTATTAAAATCAAAAGGCCTTGTCTCAATGGCGCCCAACGTGGGGCACGTTGGATATTTTTCATGTAAAATTGTGTTGAAAATCATAGTGTCGATTTATTTTACTTCGAGAAATGTTTGTACAATGTGTTAAAGAGAGACGATAAAGCCACTTATTTCGACGTTTGGTGATACTGCCGAGCGTCGGTGTTTACATTTACACAATAGAAACCTCAGCGAGAGAATTCGCCGTAATAACCTCTCTCTTTTCTTTCTTCTGTTAATCTATCTTCGCTCTCTAATTTCCTTTCTTCGTATTATATCTATTATATGAAATTGAAATACTGTGATATTATTGATGTACCATATTTGTCGACTCTTCCACACGGGAATTGGAATTTGTTCGATAATTTCGTCCGTCTGTTGTCGAAATTATCGTGATTGAAAATCGATTGGGAAACACTCGTGACCTTAACCGTCTGTAGTCGAGGTGCGATGCGGGACTCGGTCGAAGGGATTGTATTTATTTTTGGAATTTGAGTTACTCAATTTTCGTCAAATTTTTTTTTTGAAAATATCGAATAGTCTTATTTGAGTGTCAATTAAGACAATTTTGGTGAAATATTTTTGGCTGATAGTAAAATTTTTCTTTTTTATGAATTTGTTACGCGATGTTTGAAACTCCACCCCCTAAGAAAAATGGAACAGGAATCCCGCCCACAGATAGAACTACAAGATCACAGTTAAATAGAACAATGACATTAGATCCAAGTCAAGACGATAATATGGCGAATGAACAGTCAACCGCGATGAACGCCCCGTTGGGCGCAGGGGGGGAGACATTAGCGAGAACAGGGACAACACCTAATCCCACACCTATAATAATTGAAAGAGTACCAACACCTTTGGGGGGAGGTAGGGGAAGGGGCTTGAGATTAACCCCAAACCCACCTATCCCAAATTAAATTACGAATGATATTATACAGTCAATTAATGCTATTCAGTCGAGATTAGATAGAATCGAGACTTTTGGGGACGAAATTGGGAGTTTAAGTTCTAAAATGGATCGTTTTATGGAATTTTTTGTCGGGCAGAGTCATAACATGAATAGGTGGACGGATGGGGGTTCCCGTTCACAAGAAGATTTAGAAGGTATAAGAGAAGAAAATGAAGAGACCCCTCTGAGGTCTGATCAGCCAATAGGGGGAGGGGGTGATAATTTAATGAATAATGGCGGATTGCCTGAAAATAATGAAGAAAATTTACATAATGAAAATTTGGGAAATTTGGGTGATGCGACGTTGCCACATGACTCAGCCCCGTCTGTGGGAGGGACACATGGGGCAACAGTCGATGAGATTAACACAAACCAACCTCCGAGTGGAAGAGGGGCGTTTGTGCCAGTAAATTCGAATAATCGGGGGGGAACGTCTGGACTTCCACTCGGTTTCTCTTTAGATGGAAGAGGTGGAAATGTCGACAATGGGCCGCGACATGTTCACTTCGTAAATAATAACTCAAATTCAAATACGCAAGTGAGTCGAGAAAGGATTCAAGTTTCGTATAAACTACCCGATGGTAGAACAATTACTGAGGAGCGTTTTGTTGATGCTAATGAACTTCAACAGATCACAATGAATTTCAAGGGAATCAACTTGGATTCCCAAGCGACACAACCTACACAACCTCATATACAAACACGAACACAACACACCGATCAAGGACATATTTATTTGCCGTATTCTCCATTTCGTACGATTGAATCGCAAAATAAAATGGCAAGAGGTCGATTATCACTCAATGAATACACGTCGAATCATCAGAGTTCAATGAACCCTCGCGAAGGTCGATTGTGGGACATGAACACAGGAATTAAAGTCATGCGGTTAGTCAGCGACTGGAAAATAAATTTTCCCCAGACTGAGAAAGACCCTGATCAATTCTTGTTAATTTTAATGGAACGACTCGACACTACTGGAATAAATAAAGATTTGTTCGTGCCTTGTTTATCCGCGATTTTTGAAGGGTCCCACAGAAATTGGTATTTGATAAATAAGTTGAATTGGAACTTGTGGAATGATTTTCCCACCGCGTTTAGACAAAATTGGGCGGTCCACAAAGACGACATGGACTTGTACACAGAGGTAGGGGAATTAACAGTCGCAAAGGGCGAAACTCTGGCAGAATTCACCTATCGTGCTCGTTTTATTTTCAAACGGATGTTGCATCCTCCCACGTTTCAAAAGCAAATCGATCAGATCATCAAGAAGTACAACCCTCGAATTGCACTTGAAATATTGTCGCTAGGAATAAAGAATTATGACGAGTTCCTTCAATTCGCTAATCTACGTGGCGATGTCTTTAAACAAGTCGTCGATCAGAAAAGGGAGAGGTTTACTAGGAAGAAAGTCGATTTTAATTGTATTCAAGATGAAATGCTTGAGAAAGGCGACGAAGACGTTACTTTACATGACGAATTATCTGATGAGGACGATACAACCGAGTTAAACGCGATAGATTCGAAACCACGATCATTCCATAGTCAAACAAAGAATCGAGAAGTCCCGAAATCTAAAACGATGGTAAGAAAACGATTAGAACAAAATCTCGTGAGTTTTGAGCAAAAAACTAGAGAGGGTAATGGGCCGCCTGCCCAGCACGATCCTAGAGGTGGACGAAAATTTGGCTCCCCTAAAGATTGGTCAAAAGTATTTTGTTATAACTGTGGACAGATGGGACACTCTTCACGCGTTTGTACTGCCGACAGGCAGGAAGTGTGTCACATTTGCCGACAAATTGGCCATACCAATAAGGACTGTCCTACGGCTTCGGGAAACGCAAAAAGCTCTCAGTGAAATCGCCTCCGACCACTGAATTAAAGAGCAAATCGGAGGAACAGAAGGTTGATCGTGCTGCGCAGACAAAACCGACAAATAGCGAGACAGAAATAAAAATAAATCAGGTTAAAACACTCGATAGTCCACCTGTCAAGGTCGAATCATCATCGTTATTGTACGTGGGAGACGATAAACCTGAGGGAGAATCAAGTATTCTGCTAGACGTCGATGAAGAGACCACGGATGAATGCGAATTCTCCGAGTTTGAAGAAGACGATTTTGAGGTTCACGATGAGCCTGATGATCCAGTAACGAACTTGTCGACAATTTCTAGTAAGAAATCATCAAATCAAATCGAGACACAAACGGTTAAGCATGACGTTAACTCTTTGAGAGATTGGAGACCTAAAATTCTCCCCTCTCATTTAATTCATCGTCTATCCCAGCGTCGTATTTATCGAAATGAAAATGGAATTAAAGAACCAATAAATTTAGTTAAAGCCGAGGTGACGATTTCGATTTTCGGGCAGACTTTGAAAGGAATTATCGACGGTGGAAGCGAAAGAACTTACATGAGTCCTGAAGCCTTTGAACGAGTCAAAGCTTTGAAGGTCAGGGAAGTGACTCCGGACTCGACTTCGACTGCGGGAATTTGTTTGGGCGATAGCTCAGTCGTTAAGAGTGACGGGGGTACTTGTTTTATCATCGACATTGGGGATGTTTATGGACCACAATGGTTTAGTATTCTTCCTGGGGCGTCGAGTGATATTATTCTTGGGATGGATTTTATCCTAGCCTTCAAGGTGTACCTCGATCCGATCAAAAGGGTATGGACTTTAGCAGGAAGTGAATACACTTACCCCCTATCTCACTGATGCGTTTTTCCAA